TTTTTTTTTTTTTTTTTTTTTTTTTAAGAAGTCTCTTCTGCTCATCAAGGCTGCATTCATTTGATCAAAAATGCTGAAAAAATACAGTGATGAAATATTACAATTTAAATTTTAATATACTTTTAAATATAATTAATTTATGTGATGCAAAGCTGAATTTTCATCAGCTATTACTTCAGGCTTGTGTGTCACATGATCCTTCAGAAATCATTCTAATATTCTGATTTATTATCAATGTTGAAAACAGTTGTGCTGCGTCATGTTTTGTTGGCAACTGTGATACTTTTTTTTTCAGAATTCTTTTGATGAATAAAAAGTTAGAAAGAACAGCATTTACGTAAAATATTTAAATACAGAAATCTTCCCCAACAAGTGTTTACTTTGATCACTTTTGATCAGTTTAACATCCTTGCTGAATAAGTTAATTTCTTTCCAAAAAAAATAAAAATAAATTAGTGATCCCAATACTGTGTTTGAACACAGTAGTGTATAGTGTCATAAAATACTTCTATTTTGAAAAAATGCTGTTCTTTTAAACTTTGTATTAATTGAACCAACTGTAGTTTTACTCTTCCTCTAAAAACATGGCCAGTGAATGTATATTTTGCAGTATTATTTTTTCTACATATATTTGCAATGTTGAAATTAAAACAGTTTAAAACTGTTGAGTGAACTGGTAAAACTTTTTAAGATGTCATAAAACCATTGTGATTCCAGGCAAATGTAATTAATTTTATTAAAATCTTAAGCTTTATATGGAACTAGTGATACAGCGCCACCATGTGATAAGAACGGCACGACTGCATAACATATATATCTGTATTCAGGTAACAATTAATGGATCGGGTTTGTTACAGACCCATATTTCACATAATGTAATAACTCATTTTAGGACAAAGCAGTCCATATCTAGACCAGACTGCATGTTAAAGTTTTTCCGAACATACTTCAGATGTTTAGTTAAGCTTAAATAAACCTATTCTCAATCAAAAGTTACAATTAGACATTTCAACTCAAAGCCAGTATCTGATATCCTTTTATTTACAATTTCTTGTGTTGGTGAGAGGGCAATTTAAAACAATTGAATACAAAAGGACAGACACGTTACTAGTTCATCTCACAAGCTCACCTCTTTCGCTCACACTTCTTGAAACCACTTCAAAAATCAAATCAGACTGGTAATGATGTCGTCATCCACATCTCCTTCTGTAAGGCCAGATGCCACATCTGCATCTGAGAGACTTCACATTCAACACCTCAATCTGATCAACTGATTATTGAACACTTGAATGTCAGCATCACACTTATTCACCATTACATTCTGATCCTGATACAGGCATGCAGTTGGTTACAAGTTAAAAACCGAAATGAGACCGTTGTTTTCATTAAAGCAACATTTCAACAGCAGAGAAGAGGAAACCAGATTCCAATAGTGCTTGAACGTCTTGAAGAGGATTTATGCTGAATCATTTCAATGACATGACCTTACAAAGATTTAATCAAATCTTTCAAAAGAGAACGCAGAAATATCAAATAATCGACAGCCTCATAAATATTTGGAGTATGTACCTGCTGAAGAACCAAACCCTCACCTGACTGTGCTTTTGGGGTAGACTGCAATTAAAAAAATAATAATTATTAAATCAGAGAGAGAACAAGAGCCACATCTACTCCAGTCTCCTGTAGCGTCCCGGGACATCGAGTGATGAGGGTGCTTATTGCAGGCAGAGTGGCTTCTGACATGGCAATTCCGGTGGTAGTTATTTGTGAAAATATTGTCATTCACATCAAGCCATGTGTAGTTCATGAATGATGCAACAGTCCCAGTCTTCACTCGTCCAGGTCCAGTGTGTTGAGCTCCTCCTCTAGTTCGTCTAGATCCTCCCCGGTGAAGAGGTTCTCATCTACAGGCACCGCCTCTGACTCCTCCTCATTGGTTTCTCCATCCTCCAGCGTCTGGTCCTCACTGTGCTCTCCGTTCTCTACAGCTCCGCCTGACGCCTCGCTCAATTTATTATCTGTGGAGACAAAACAGGTCAGTGATGTCAGAATGACATTTATAGACAACTGTGACCTGATTGCGAGTTATTACGTTCATTTAAGACAAAAAGGTTGACTAGTCTAAGGTAGTGAAGATTAAAGCACCATAAAATATAGACCACTGTAAAGCAGTGGTTCTGAAATTGTGGTAAGCAAGTTAATTGGGTGATTTAAAAAAAAAACAAGAAATAAAAAAACTGAATAGTTATAGTTGAATAGTAAAAACTAAGATTGAATGTGTTTTATTTTTGATGTGGTTCACCACCTGAATACAGCTGGGTAGAAAATAGTGAAATACATTAAATATATATTCCATTTCTCTCTTTTTCTTATATTGTCATTTTACACTTCTCTGCCTGCCTATTCAAACAAGATTGCACTGACACTAACCTCACAAATTAGCATACAAAATAAAACACAAAAAGAAGATATTCAGAAACATCTCACCATCTGTCTCATTTGTTGGAGGAGCTCTGGCAGAAAACCTGTCTGCGGACGCCACCGTTATACCCGCATTATCCACCTCTTTAGGGATAAATCTAGCAATGTCAATGTCCTGAACCTCATCTATTTCCTCCACCTGGAGAGACAATCACGTTAATGCTAAATGACTTGAGACTTGAAATAAGTGAATCATGAAGTATTACATGCAACAGACACAAATATTAAACATCAGGTGATAGATTTAAGTCTTATTATTTTTTATCTACAAATGTTTATACACCGTGTGCATAATTATTAGGCACGTTGATATTCTGATTATATTTTTGTCCAAGCACATTTTACCAATTCCAACCCACATCAATCTTAAAGGTAAATGAGGAGGAGAGAGGCGGGGCAACTGCCATGCTTTGCTTGTTTGCAAGCCATGATGTCTCGTGAGGAAAAAAAAATATTGCGCTCGCCTCGCAGGGTAGTAGCTCATTTTCTCATGGGCGGGCCAAATTCTCTGGGCGGGCAAAGCAGAGAAAGGGGAGGTAACCTTTCCCCGTATGACGACATAAAGGGAAGATTCCAGATTGGGCCATCTGAGCTTTCATTTTCTCAAAGGCAAAGCAGGATACCCAGGGCTCGGTTTACACCTGTCGCCATTTCTAGCCACTGGGGGACCATAGGCAGGCTAGGTGAACTCATATTAATGTTAAAAAACCTCATAAAGTGAAATTTTCATGCCATGGGACCTTTAATAACTACTATTGATTTTGTATTTAATAATTTATATGTGATATATAATTGTCTATGAAGGCTGGAAGTGAAGAACTCCTTATATTCAGGTGTGCAGAATTATTAGGCATGTTTTCTTTTACTGATAAAATGAGCCAAAAAAAAAGAGATTTAACTCAGACTAAAAGTAAAAAATTATTAAATCCCCAAGAGAAATATTCAAAACTAATGCAATACAGAAATTGCAAAGTTAAGACATGACCATTGGACAGCAAAATGCTCACTGGGTCAGCGGGGTCAGAAAAAACAGGTGGAGAAGAAAAGACACATTAATTGCAGAAGAATTAGGAATTAATGTGAAGAATTAGGTGTGAAACCATCAAGAACCGTTTAGTCTCCAGCACCACCATTTTCCAGAACGGCAACCTTCCTGGAGTCTCCAGAATTACAAGGTGTCAGGTTCTCAGAGACTTTGCATGGGTAAAAAATCCTAAAAAAATTACACTTAAGAATAACATGCAGAAGTATTGTGAAATACATTAAGACAAATTTTTTATAGGCTTTATGGATAGAAGTTGTGAGTGACTATTGAAGGACCAGCACCACATCCTCTTGTACCACTGTTTGAAGAATGTATCTTCCAGAATCTGGCAGTAAGGTTTAGGAGCTCATTTTTAGTCAATCCTGCAAGACAGGCTTTTCAGGATAGGAGATGAGCTCCTAAAACTTACTGCCAGATTCTGGAAGATACATTCTTCAAACAGTGGTACAAGAGGATGTGGTGCTGGTCCTTCAAGAGTCACTCACAACTTCTGTCCATAAAGCCTATAAAAAAATGTGTCTTAATGTATTTCACAATACTTCAGCATGTTATTCTTATTAAGTGAGGGGCATTTTTTAGGATTTTTTACCCAAGCAAAGTCTCTGAGAACCTGACACTTTGTAATTCTGGAGACTCCAGGAAGGTTGCAGTTCTGGAAAATGGTGGCGCTGGAGACTAAACGGTTCTTGATGGTTTTACACCTAATTCTTCACATTAATTCTTAATACTTTTGCAGTTAACGTGTTTTTTCTTCTCCACCTGTTTTTTCTGACCCCGCTGACCCAGTGAGCATTTTACTGTCCAATGGTCATGCCTTAACTTTGCAATTTCTGTATTGCATTAGTTTTGAATATTTCTCGTGGGGATTTAATAATTTTTGACATCAGTCTGAGTTAAACCTCTTTTTTTTTGGCTCATTTTATCAGTAAAAGAAAACACTTAATTCTGCATACCTGAATAAGGAGTTTTTCACTTCCAGCCTTCATGGACAATTATATCACTTATAAATTATTAAATACAAAATCAATAGTAGTTATTAAGATGGATGTGGTTTGGAATTGGTCAAATGTGCTTGGAAAACAAATATCATCAGAATATCAACGTGCCTAATAATTACGCATGCGGTGTATAGCTTATATTAGGTGATGTTGCATTGTTAAATAATATAAAATGTATTTTTTTCACACCTCGTTATAAACCTCAGCATCATCATCATCATCATAATCATCATCATCATCAGCGTATTTGGTATCATCGGCCTCTTCATCGTCATCATCGACAAGCTCAGGTCTGAACTCAAACACTTCCCTTCCACTGACCTGCAGGACATGAAAGCAAGAGATGAGGAGTCTTGAAGAACCAGGACTTTTAGGGTGCTTTCACACTTGGTTCGATTGCTCCCCCCTCCCCCGCTGGACTGTGTTCACATTATATTTTTTGGGTCCAAACTGTGGTTCATTTGCGGCCAGCAGCTAGCAGCTGTTTACCCCGTTGCTTAGTAACGATGGCGCAGGAGAAGACGGCAAAATGCGTAGCAATCTCTTCAATTTTATATTTATGTTTTTGAACCGTTGGTTTTGTTTCCAAAGCTTCAGTACATAACAGCACTTGCGTCTGCCTTACGAATGTACTGCAAATGCTCTAAATTACTCTGAAGGTGAACAGAAATGAGATATACAGCTCTCTGCTTGTAGCGCGTCAGTCACGCTAGTCAAGAAAGTGAGTGGAAAAACACAAATTTTTATCAAATAATACGTTATTAATAGCGGTTCACTTCCGTGATTTGGTACGATTGCGTTCACATCAGCAGCGAACCGTACCGGAGTTCACTTGAACCGTACCCCAGACCACCCTTTTCAAGCAAACTCGGGTACAGTTCGCGGGTGCGCACCCGAGTTCGGAAGACAGTGTTCACATCATCCAAACGAACCGAACTCTGACGTCAATCGAACCCGGGTGCGCACCAAAAGTGCTAGTGTGAAAGCACCTTTAATGCCCAATACTTTATCAGAATAAGTCCTTTTTCCAAGACCTCAGCATCTTTTTATTTTTATTTTGAGGTCAGTATTTTAATCGATCAGGCAAACAGGAATATCTGTGTCATGATTTTCACTCACCCCAAATGCTCTGCCAGCTTTGAAGTCGGCTTTCTTTCTCTCCATGTCCTGCTCTGCTTTAGCCAGTTTCTCTTGCCTTTTCATTTTCTTCCAGGCCAAGAATGTTTCCAGAGTAATTCGGGTGACATTTGCTCCCAGGGTAGATCGCTACAATAAAGAACAGATGATCATAACAACAATTATGATAGATAACTATCAGATTCAATGACACTGCTACTTCACAATCACATTCTGAAACACTCTTCTCTTCCTTCTCACCTCAGTCTCTATCAAATCCTCCAGCGAGATCTCCTCCTCATTCGTCTCTTCTTTCTTCTTGTCTTTCTTCAGAACAAAGCCCACAGGAAGAG